TTGAATAATGTTTTCAAAGTATTCTTCTTCTTTGTAGTTCAACTAAAAAGAAAAGGGGAAGAGAAGTTAGTGGTGGTGTTACTGGTATGGGATAAGACACATGGATCAGGAGGATCTAGTCTTAAGCATGATGAGCTATGCAACACATTTCTAAGAGTATTTTTTGATCTACAGTTAGACCTTGGTTTGCAGAGCTCTGCTACATCACAGAGTTGATATTGTAGCTGGATCTATGTTAGCAGCTGGGTGTTTTTTCCAGAGCTCTTCATTCTCTCTTTCTATACATATTTTGAGTGGGATTCAGCAATTGTTGGCCCAACCTCTGGAGCTGCCTGCTGCAAGCCAGTGGCTGCCAGTTTGCTGAGGAGCAGTTCCAGCTCAGACACATCTGTGTGCCACATCCCGTGCTGGGTCAGCCTGTCACACCTGTGTGCCACATCCCGTGCTGGGTCAGCCCTACCAGGCTGGCTGCTCACACCTCCTCTCTTCCCCTGCAGCTGGGCACACCTGGGGCTGTTCTGGGCATGTGGGGCAAGGAAAGCAAATGCACATTTTCTTCTCTGAATTCTCTAATTCTCCTGCCTCTTGTGCAAACTTACCTCCTGGTACTCACTGTTGAGCTTGTTGTCATCTGTCACAATCTCATCGGGATAACCAATCCTCTCTCTAATTGCTGTTGCCTAGGGACAAGGGAATTTGATATCCATAGCAAATCCAGTCATGTTTTTAAATAATAAGTTATATAAGAAAGACAATATGGAAGCCACTGCGGAAACCGCAGGATGTTAATTATATATAGGTTTTGTTCACATTTTTTATTCATTGAAAGCACAAGTTTATGGGTTTTATCCCAATCCTCCTAAAAGCAGAAATAATTTTCATTTTCAGTATTGTTTTCCTGTAGATGTTCATTATCCAGCTCCTTAATCACTTACTTGAAAGTTAATCACTTATTGAAAAGTCTTAATCTTGTATTAAGATTCTACCCATTTTTGTGCCTATCTCTGGAGGCTCCTTCCCATGGAATCCTAAGCTGCTGTGCCTGTATAAGCACAGCTATAAATGTGTTTGTATTATAATATAGTGATAGAAGCTACTGCTTATTTTTTGTCAGGATAAACAATTGAAATACCAATTCATATTGAACTACACATTACCAATATTTCAGACAAAACTTACTTTTTGTTCTGCTCTCTTTTTGGTCTCTGCATCCATCCAGGGAAGTTCATCTAAGGTTTTTATAAAAACATCACGTATATCTGCAATCATTTCTTCAACCTGGAAAAAACATCAGAATGTTACAAACCCACAGAGTAAGATGGTGGGCAATGCAGTTCAGTCATTCAGGTTACCAAACCCTGATAGACATTGCCCCGCTGGATGTTGTGCATCTGATGGAATCCTTGTGTTTGTGCCAGCCCCAAAAATGGCTTGTTTCACTCCAGTGGTGATCACTGGAAGGCTTCATTCACTTCAGGTCCATTTTCAGGAACTTTCTGTGTGGCTGAAGGCAAAATAAAAATAGCCAATTGCCCCTGTGCCCAGTGGTGGCAGGATGTGAATTAGTCTCAAAGCACAGCAGTGGGTGCAGGTGCCAGCTGCTCCTGGGGTGTGAGGATTGACTCGTGCACAGCCTGCCCATGCACCTGGCTCAGAGAGCAGGCAGGAGCCTCTCTCCCTGCAGCTGTGCACCTGCAATCCCCACATTTCACACTGTACTCTAATAAAAACTTGCATTTTTAAACCTTTGCAATATCCATTATTAACACTTCAATACAAACTTAAAAATCAAACCCACTTTGATTACACTGCAATAAAAGGTGCAGTGACAGCTGTGTCAGGAGGAGCATGGTGGTG